GAGAAAGAGGTACAAGGTGTCTTCCAAGGATTCACTTGAATTCTATGCATTCACCATGAAAGCAACTGTTGAAGATGAAAAACTTCAAGGCAAGATCATTAATGAAGTCAAACAGAAGATTCTTGACTAGTGCAATGAAATTGTCAACTGGCTTGATAAGAACCAGACTACAGAGAAGAATCTGAATATCAGCAGAAAGAGTCTGAAAAAGTCTGCAACCCCATTATTATTACCAGGCTGTACCAGAGTGCAGGAGGCATGCCAGGAAGAATGCTTAGGGGCGCTTCCCTGGTAGTAGAGCCTTTCATACAGGTGGTGCCTCTTCTGGGCATACCAACGAAGAGGTTAACTGAGCCCACCTTGAGCACATATTTAGCACTGTTTTACACAAAATATTGAAGGACCAAAATTTGTAGCAAATTCCATGGCAGTTTTAAAGTTGAGCTGCTCTATGACAGGGTGTCCTTGACACTTGAATATGAAATATGTGTGCACAGGAAAAGGAAATAATGATGCACGTTATAAACACTGTATTGTAAAGCGGAAAATGCGATGCCTTAATAAATAAAACTGTATTTAATATTGGCCAAAAAAAAGTTTAGTTGGTTTCTTCTTTCTTGTAAAATCTTCTGGTATATGGCAGCTCCACTTCTAATCCACCAACACTCAGTCATTTGCCCCATGTATAGTAGCTGCTTCAATCTCTGCTTACTTAATGAACTCATCCCTGTCTGGGATTTATTTCATCTAGATTTGTTTGTATATACTACTCTGAAATAACTCCAATAAAGAGTATGTTTATTTTATCTGGACTTTTCCTGTTTCCACTGGATCAAAGTTCTATTTTACATCCTGACCAGAAGTCAATTTCACCATGTTTTTCAAGTGTGAAATTTACATTGGCTTTGAGTTCAAGACAATGAACACATGACTTTATATCTTCTCCAGTTCTCATTAAATAGGAAAAGAATTATTTGTAGTAATGGGACAACTGACTATACCATGAAGATGTGAGAAATGGGAGAATCTATCACCAGACCAGAGATTTTGGTATATATCCAGAAGACAAAATAGAAGAGTGTGAACTGGAAGGTAGAGAAGAACAAGTTGTACCCTAGCGGCCTCACAGAAGATGCTTCTGGAGACAAGAGTCTAACCAACCTATCACAAACCTAGAAAGGCTCTGGCATCAGAGATTATTGGAAAATTAGGGAGGGGCTAAGAATTGGGGCTGGTATTAGTGCAGTTAATGATTGAAGGTCTTTAAACTGACCTGTTGTCTCTCTTCCCTTTGCTTATGTGCTTGTAGCCAGGTATTTATCCCCTTGATAAAATACTCAAAACAGTTCTCTAAAGGGCATGTAGGTATTTACACTCAAGTAAAACCTTCCTTTTCCTGGCATGAAGGGGTTCCCACAACATAAAATCTGGCTGAGTTTGAGACCCAATTTCTTAGCCATAGCTATGTTATTTGGGGGAAAGTTACTTAAGTTCATTGCCTGTTTCCTTACTCATAAAAAGTATATCCACAATAAAAGGTGGTTGTGAGGATTTAAGAAAATCATGTATACAGAAGTGCTTAGCACAGTGCCTAGAACACCATAAACATTCAATAGATAGCCATTGCCATTTTTATTGTTATTGATCAAATACTTGTTTTATATGGAAAGGAAGAAAATAATCCAAAGGTTAGATGTTAGAAAGATGAACATCTTTTCTAATTAGGTAGGAGAAATAGGTGAGAATGAGTATCAATGTATGTGTGTGGATCACAAATTAAAACCCCCATCCCATTTTCCTTAACAATACCTAGTTGTGTAAAACAAGAAATCAATATGTATAAGGACTCCAAAGAATCTAGAAATATCTATTATAAAAATGCTTTAAAATGGCATCCATCTGAAATTCTATATTATATATATATGTGTATATATGTGTGTATGTATATATATATGAACACACATATACACACACACTAAATTAGAGAAAATTCATTGTGCTATTTGCATTTACAATCCATAAAACAAAGAATTCCTTTTTTTTTTTTTAAATGTTCTGTAGTGTCATTAACATCTAATATTGTGTTTAAAAAATCTTCATAAGCTGAAGGAAATTGAACTCTGGGTGGTAATCACACAATAGAATATATAGACGTTAAATTATAATGTACACCTAAAAATTATATAATTGTATTAACCAATGTTACCCCAATAAACTTAATTTAAAAAAATAATTAAAAAATAAGATTTAGATTTAGATTCAAGTTATGGAAAAAATAAATAAATAAATAAAGATTCTTCGGTGTACTGGGGTGAGGAGGATACAACAAATGCCTTAGTGCAAGATTAAAATTGCTTAAAAGACTCATGATTTAAACTAAAAATTAATGTAAATCTTGCTCATCAATACATTGGTATGTTTTAATATAAAAAACATATTTACTACACACGAAATAAACATTGGTGGTCTAAAAAGATATGCCATGTTTCTTACTTATCCCTGGCACACTGCTAAATATCTTTGATTTGGGATAGATCAATATTTTTAGGTCCAGAACACATAACAAAAGTTTACTAAAACTGTCACTTATTCTAATTTTTAAGTTCCTACTTATAAAATATTATGAGGTCATCACACAAGATGATTAGTCAATTTGATTTTTTTAATCGAAATGGTTTTTATGTATAACATTAAAAAACTCAAGTGCTTAGACTAGTTTTCAATTTCAAATCAGCTTTGGTCTAAGTAATAACAACAGTATTTCCTAATAAACATAAATGTAAAATACTTTATCAACCAAGTAGTTGCTCAAAACAATAACTACTTAAATTTCATTGTTTCATGTTTTATGTCTATGAATTGCAACTAGTGAATAGGGAAGATGCTGAAAAAATTAGATATTTGTAGTTTCCCTAGCTTGTCCTGAACCTGCTTATGTTTATAGCCCATTTTTTTCTGACTTTACAGTCTAGCTGTCACTAATATGCATAGCCAAATTTCCTTTGTTCATCAGTCAGACTTAAATAATTTCCATTTGTAATAAATCTTCATTTCTAACGGAAAATCAACAAAAGATTCAATCTTAATCATACTGGAGTCATGATGAAAATGAACTCAATTCACAAAAAGCTATTTTTTGGTGACATCAGCTATGTTTTCATTCAAACCTGCCTGAGTTTTTCCTCCCTAATCTTGACACTAGTTACTCTTTAACTACAAATGTGAGATTTTTTAGTTTTACTGACTCCATAACAGTCTTTAGTAATTATTAACTTAATGAAGATCTTGAAATAATATCTACTAAAAATAAAATTATAAAGAAAATGTAGTAATTTACAATCAAGTTTTTCCAATTTCTCCTTAGGATTATAAATTCATTCATTCAGTCAAAAATATTTTAAAAAAACTCTTCTGGATAACTGCGTACCAGAAATACCAAGATATATATAAGCTTCTGCCTGGAAAGAGATGACAGTCTAGTAGTTTCCAACAGAGATGTTCGAAAATACAGATGTAACTCCTTTGAACATTTACTATCAATTATATCTAATCATTCTTAAAATTAAACCATTTTCTTCTGGCATATATAATGTTAACTATCACATCACCTGTGGACAGGTAATGCAGAACATTACTTTGAAAGAATGTAAAAGAATACATATAAAAAGCCAGCACCCAAAACAGCAAATATATTTAAGCCAAAGTTTAAAAACAAAATATGCACTTATAGATTCTAATGAAGATTTTACTAAATCCACTAATGCACTAAATATAAATTCATTTTAATTAACAATTTAATTTTTTAAAAGCATAGAACTTATGAAAACACTGGTCAAAAAATGATCTTCTGAAAAGGTCTTTTCTGTAGACTTCTGTATTTATTAAGAAGAGCAAGAGAGACAATAAGCAAAGATAAAAT